AAAAAAAAAAAAAAAAGTAAATAGACATCCAAGATATAGGTTGTTCAAAATTCATACAAAGCAAATGGTCCAAACTGGATCAAGAAAACAAAAAGACATATGAAGGGGAGACGGATAATTGATGTCTAAGCCTATGCAGCAGAGATCTTCTGTCTATAGGAGCCATTGGGGTAGGACTTAGAGGTTCAGACGTAGAAAAGAGAAACAAAACATAGAATGCTAACTGCAGGAAATATAAGAAATGCAAATGAAGCGTAATCCCCTATGTGGCTCAGTATATGTAATTAACATACATAACAAACAGACTATTGATTTAACTAAAAATGGTGATGGAATGTGAGCTGTGGAGGAGCATGTCATCTGAACATGGGAATGAGCTAGAGGAAAAATAAAATCCATCTTCCTTAGTAGAAAAGCAACTGATATTTAAAACTAGGAAAGTTTTTTGGGTTTTTTCAGGGAAGGGTCTACAGGGTGTTCAGGGTCTCACCACTAGATCAGACTCGTAGTAATCCCCCTGTTTACAGCCTCCCAAGAGCTGGGATTACAGGCACACACCACCACACCCAGTCTCAATTGCTGTCTCAGCACACCCTGGGGATGGGGCCGACATGGCAAGCCCAGAATCAAACCCTGGCCCCTGCATCTATTTGCAGGTACTTTAATCCACTCTGCTGTCTGGCTGACCTTAGAAAACAGTTTTTAAAAAACAGTTAATACTTAGGCAAGCACAGGGACTGGGGTTTGATCCCGGCACCACAAGCCATGCTGGCCCAGCCCTGGGCACACAGAGCCAGCCACTGATGGGGGTGTGGTGGTGCATGCCTGTAATCCCAACTCTGGGGAGGCTAAAAACAGGAGATTAACTCTGATCAAAGCTGCACAGGGAGACTCTGCATCAACTACATAAAAAAATAAATAAAAACAGTTAATAAAAACGTTATCTACAAACATGAAGGTAAATAACAAAAGAATTGTTGTAGGCAGCTGACTTAGACAGAAATGTTACAGGCGGTCAGATAGAACTAGGCCCTCCAGGAGCCAGTAAGGAAGACAAGACACCTTACAACTGTGAGAGAGAGACACTCTTTCTGTGAGCCAGGCCTCAAGACAAAAGATCAAAGGCAGCCACATTCCTCCCTGGGGATGGGCCTTAGGATTGATATTCTAAACAGGTATCCATCACCTTAAAAGAGCCAGGAAGAGTTGCTAACCCAGCCCTCTATAGGAAAAGCCCCTTCTCTGTATTCATGCCCACTTTCTTTCCCATTGATCCTACTTTTAATTCAATTTTACCTGAGCATTGTGCTGGTAGTCTTATTGGTTGACCATAGTTTCGTCCCACCTCACATGCGAGCTCCCACGTTTCCACCTTAGACCCACCTCACGTCATGGATTCACTCTATAAAATAATCCCTAGAAATGGCAAATTCCCAGTCAACCACTCCTGTCCCCTTCTGTCCCTCTCTCAAACAGAAGCTTTTTTTCCCCTAGTAAATACATTTTGTTCTTAACCGCCACTGTTCTTTCTTTGGTTTTAGAGATCATGAACAGGTATCTTCCAGGTTGGGAGTTTGATTCCCTTATAACAAAATCAGATGAAAGAATTAAATAATGATTGTTTCAGAAAGCTAAAATCAAAAGTAAGGGGAAAAAATCTAGGGGTACAAGGTGCTATTTTTATCTCAGTCTAATGACACTATTTGAAATTTGCACATTAAAATAATTTTTTAAAAATATTTTTAAATATTTCTGCACACATTATGCAACAGTTGAAGGGATCTCACTTAGGTCTGGGTGCCCAGGTTCATTTGCTTGAAAAGAAACCATTTATTTTGGTAAAAAGTGACACAATTCACCCAGCAGCAATGGTGGCAGCGATAGCAGAGGCACAGCAAAGAGACAGAAAAGATAAAAGAGGCTTTTATTGCGGACACGTGAGGACCGCAAGGAAAGACGCACAGAAACCCTCGGACACAAACAGTGGAGGGAAGTTATATTTATAGGTGCCTAAAGGGGGCGGGGCCTTGGGCGGTGAGGTGATGACGTTGTGAGGGCTCATTGGATATCCTCCTGGGAGGTGCAGTAGATCATCTTGGTGCGCCGGATGAAGGGAATGCTGGGAAGAAGAAGAGGTAGGTAGTTGTTCTGGGCTCATCATCAACTTGTGGAGATGCCATGGTGATTCAGCCAGTTTCCACATGGGCCGGACCCATCATTCCCATCTTTGGTTTGTTATAAAGGGGCGC